TATATATATATATATATCATGATGTTACTGATAGTTAATATGATTGATGAAGATTGTTATTTTATCATTTTCGTTTTTATTATTTTCGTTGTTGATGAGAGGAACTAACTGTTTTGTTTGTATTGAGAGATTGTTAAGGTTACGAGTTAATTGTTAATGTTACGGGTCAATTGTTAAGGTTATGGATCCCTTCTCTCTCTCTCTCTCTCTCTCTCTCTCTATCATGATGTTACTGTGATGATAGTTGAAATGATTGATGAATATTGTTATTTTATTATTTTTATTTTTTATTATTTTCGTTGTTGGTGAGGAAACTAATTGTTTTTGTTTGTATTGAGAGATTGTTAAGGTTACGGGTTAATTGTTAATGTTACATGTCAGTTATTAAGATTATGGATCGGTTGTTAATGTTACGGATCAGTTGTTAAGGTTATGGGTCGGTTGTTAAGGTTACGAGTTGGTTGTGAAGGTTACACGTTGGGATATATATATGTATATATATTTTGAGTAGAATGAATACTTTGGATCACTTGGTCTAGTGGTAAAGTTTGGGAGTTTGGACAAGAGGTTAGACGTTCAAACCCCTACAACCATAATATTTTTAGAATATTCGTTGTTATGGATAATGGTTGGTTGTGAATGTTATGCATTGGTTGTGAAGGTTACGGGTTGGTTGTTAAGACTATGAGTTTGTTGTTAAGATTACGGGTTTGTTATGTAGGTTAACTAAACTTCATAACCAATGCATAACCTTCACAACCAACCATTATCCTTAACAACGAACATTCTAAAAATATTGTGGCTGTAGGGGATTGAACGCCTAACCTCTTTTCCAAACTCCCAAACTTTACCACTAGGCCAACTGACCCAAAGTATTCATTCCACTCAATATATATATACATATATATATCCTAATGTGTAACCTTCACAACCAACCCGTAACCTTAACAACTGACCCATAACCTTAACAACTGACCCGTAACCTTAACAACTGATCCATAACCTTAATAACTGATCTGTAACATTAACAATTAACCCGTAACCTTAACAATTAACTTGTAACCTCAACAATCTCCCAATACAAACAAAATAATTAGTTTTCTCATCAACAACGAAAATAATAAAATAACAATCCCCATCAATCATTTCAACTATCATCACAGTAACATCATGATGAAGAGAGAGAGAGAGAGAGAGAGAGAGAGAGAGAGAGAGAGAGAGAGAGAGAGAGAGAGAAGAGATAGTAACATCATGAGAGAGAGAGAGAGAGAGAGAGAGAGAAGAGATCCATAACATTAACAATTGAACCGTAAACTTAATAATTAACTCGTAACTTTAACAATTAACCCGTAACTTTAACAATCTCCGAATACAAACAGTTAGTTTCTCTCATCAACAACAAAAATAATAAAAAATAAAAATAATAAAATAACAATCTTCATCAATCATTTCAACTATCACACCAGTAACACTATGATAAAAAGAGAGAGAAGGGTATTATGGTCTTCACATATTTTAATCTCTTGAGTTTTGTGTTTTGGGGGCTCAGAGAACAAAATCTTTATTTTTGGGGGAAAAACACCCGTTGACAAAGTCTTGCGGGGGAGGGGGGAGCACGTTTTCTTGGGTTTTGGGGGCTGGAAGCATTTTCCCCTAGTGTATATTGTATTTATACTATCATGTGATAAAAACCCTAAAATACCCCCATAATATTTTCACAAAACACACCCACCCACACTCTCTATCTTCGTCTATTCTTAGGTTCTCTCTTCCGCTCCCCCTTTCTGCAACTTGAAAGATCCAAACAATCTCTCAAATTCTTGGCAAAATTGATCCCCATGAAAACCCTAACCAACACTCTCATTCTTTGTTGCTGTCGAGCCCAAGCTGCCGTCGACTCCTAGTTGAAAAGTAGCCCTACTAATTTATTCTCAAAATTTATCTTTCTCTGATAACGTCGAGCGTTTCTAGTGATACGAGTCGCCGTGCGAGCACCCTTTGATCGCGGAATTACCAAAAGGTGGGTTGAGAAGAGGATGACCAAAACACAAGAACAATTCAGTATAAGGCGAAGGAAAATACCTTCTCTAGATTATGAAGAACAAAAGATTACAATCTCTCCCTCACAATCTCACTAGAATCGAGAACAACCTCTCAACTCTCTCTCTAAACCCTAATACAATTATTAGAATTTCTCTTGATCACTTCTCTCTGAGATCTGATCACAATCTAAACCCTAATCCTTTTGATCAGGATTTCACTTAGACCTAAAACCCTTTAGGACTACATCTTGGCTTCTAACCTCCTTGTTTAGAACCCTAAACAATCCCTATTTATAGGGTTTACAACGTGGTGGTAATCTTGTAAATAAACAAGTCCAAAAGGATCAGGAATTCCTGTCAAAACAGAATCCAAAACGAATGAATCCAAACAAGAGCATAGGTAACAATAGTGGGTTTTAGTACTTAGGAAATTACAACACGAGCATAGGTACGTCGAGCGAAATAATCCAAACAAGAAAACTCTCATGTATATACATTGTAACTCAAATTGTAAATCCCTAAATATTAAACCCGAGGTTTATCACAAGAAACAATAAAGAAAAGAATACAAACCCATCTCTACCGATACAATTTAAACATGTCAAAGCTACAATAAGTGTCATGTCCAGCCTAGGTAGCTATCATGTCCCAACCTCATATAATATGTCGTGTTCCAAACTCGGTTAAGAAACATACTCAAGGTTTAGCAATTTTTCAACATAAGACTGTAATGGATTATAGTCCAAAACGAGGACTTTAATAGATTATAGTCCAACACGAGGACTTTAATGGATTATAGTCCAACACGAGGACTGTGTATATGAATCATGGAATACTAATAGTAAAGGTATACATATTCTACTCTTGTACATGCCTTGCTGTACAGATCTAAGCTCGTGTAAGAAATGTCATCTTACATGTGTA